AGGAGGCTGAGCGAGACCTGAGGGCGGCCTGTCTCTGTCTAATGGGGGCTGTAAGAAAGACATTGACAGACTCTTCAGCAGTATCTGTGGTGATAGGGCAAGGAGAAATGGCTTCAAATGAAAAGGGGAGATTCATGCTGGACATAAGGAAGAAGATTTTTATTACATGGGCAGTACGGTGCTGCCCAGTTGGTGCTGGATGCCCCATCCCTGGAGCCACCCAAGGTCAGAGTGGAGGGGCCCTGAGCTGCTGATGGAGCCGTGGGCGTCCTTGCTCACTGCAGGGAAGTTGAGCCGGGTGACTTTTAAGGGTCTCTTCCAACCCAAATGATTCTGTGATTCTGTGAAACATGCAGGGTTTTATTTGTGTCGTTTTTTTTTTTTTTTTTTAATTCTGAAAGAGTTTGGGGAGCCCTGAAACACCAACCTGCAATTAGGACTAATTGTGAGGCACACTGCAGTTGGTGCACACTGCAGAGACTCACTAGATTGCTTACAATGGACTCCTTACACAGCAAGCAGGAGATGATGCACACACACTGTGCATGCTGCTCCTTGTCAGGCTCCTCCAGACTCCCTTCAGAGCTGCTTTTTATTTGGACTCTCTCTCCCTGAGTGCCTATCAAGCCCCGGGAATAGGGTTGCCTTATGTTACCAGCTCAGGCTGCCCAGGACCCCATCCAACCCGGCCTGGAGCATCGCCAGGGAGGGGGCACCACAGCTCTGGGAAGCAGTGCCTGAACCCATCTCCACACACCCAACAGGTAAGCATTCATCACACACACCTCCGTAGGAGCCCTGCTCCAGCTCCCTCCTTCCTGAGGAGGCTCCAGCGTGCCCACACGGACTCTCCTTATCATCCCCTTCTTCTGCCCGCTGCCCCGCACCGTGCCCCGGTTTGCTGCTGCTGCCCCGACCCCCGAGCTGTCCTGGCGCCATGTTGACGCTCCTGGGGCGGCTACGCGCGACCCTCAGCCGGGCAGGGCAGGCAAAGGAAGGGAGGGGAGGGGAGCGTGGCTCGCAGCGCACCGCACCGCACCGCACCGCACCGCACCGCACCGCACCTCACCTCACCGCCGCCCCTCGGCATTCCCCTCCTCCGGTGGCACCGCCGCCCGTTACCTGCTCCGGCCCCGCGGCCGCCGCTCCACATTCAAACCGAGCTCCGCCCCGACGGGCGGTCCCGGGGCGGGGCTGCGGCGAGGCGGGCCGGGCGGCGGGCCGGGTCGGGAGCGGACGGCATGGGGCCGCCGGGGAAGCAGCGCGGAGTCGGGGTGGCGGGGGACCTGGCGGCACTGGCGGAGCTGGACGAGGCGTCGCTGCTGAGCGCGCTGCGGGACCGCTTCCTGCGGCAGCAGATCTACGTGAGTGTGCGCGCGGGGCTCGGCTCTCCCCCCTCCCGGCTCTCCCCCCTCCCGGCTCTCGCCCTCCCGGCTCTCCCCTCACCGCTCTCCTCTCACCGCCTCCAGACCGACGTGGGGGACATCCTCATCGCCGTGAACCCCTTCCAGCCCCTGCAGCTCTACGGGAGAGAGGTGAGTGTCGCCCTCGGGCAGCCCAAGCAGCAGCGAGTGCTGGTGCCGTGTCCCCCAGCCCGTCCTCAAGGGCCGTCTCACCCTTCAGGTCTCCGAGCAGTACCGGTGCCATGAGAAGGGCACGCTGCCTCCGCACATCTTCGCCGTGGCCGACCGTGCTTACCAAGCCATGCTGGGTCGCCGCGGCGCCCGGCCGCAGAGCCAGTGCATCGTCATCAGGTGAGGTGCCTCGAGGGCACGGCGTTCTCCCCATCAGACCTTCACGTATCCACGCTTCTGGTGGGTCCAAACCCAGCTTCGTTGGCTGCATTCCAGCAAGATTAGCAGACAGATGGTGAAGAGAGAGGTGTTGTGAAAGAGGTTGGGTTTCATGTGGTCGCTAGCCAGCCTTTGATGGTAGCGCAACTGTGTGGAGTCTAACAGGGTTGCTTCTGTTGGGTTGTAGTGCTGGAAAGGTTAACCCACTCTGCATATTGCTTTTCTTTGGCAAAACATCTTCCACTGTAATTTGTGTATTGAATCTTATAAATCATGCAATTGTAAAGTGGCTTGTGTTGGGAGGGACCTCGAATATCATCAAGTTCCTCCCTTCTCCCACAGGCAGGGCTGCCATCCATTAAATCAAACAGCAGACCAGGCTGCCCAGGACCCCATCAAGCATGGCTTTGAGCACCTCCAGGGATGGGGTACCACAGCTCTCTGATTGCCATTTCACTGAAAAACTTCCCCCTGACATCTAATCTAAATCTCCCTTCCTTTCGTTTAAAACCATTTCCCCACGTCCTCTTGTTTATCTACCCATGTAAAAAGCTGATTTGTCTCCTACCTATAATGTCCCTTTAAATATTGGAAGGCTGAAATGATGTCTCCCCAGAGACTTCTCTTCTGCAGACTGAACAGGCTCAGCTCTCTCAGCTTGACTTCATAGGAGAGATGGAGTGGACCTATTTTTGTAGGTGCTCCATCCCTAGAGGTGCTCAAGGCTGAGCTGGATGAAGCCCTGGGTACCTGAGCTGATGGGAGCAACCAGCCCACAGCAGGGAGAGGAAACTGGCTGACCTTGAAGCTAATTTTTAATTTACACCTTTCTATTATTCTATCATCTCCCTAAGTAACCAAAGAGGAAAGGGAAGAGAAGGAGTTTCTTTGCTGTAAGAAAATCTAGTCAGGAAAAATCTTAAAATCAAAGCACATCCTGGGCTGCAGCCGAAGCAGCGCGGCCAGCGGGGCGAGGGAGGG